CCAGCTACTCCCTCTGGCTTGTAATTCCATCCGTGGTCAGATGACCTGCCTTGTGACTGTGCCTGGGAGGCTGACGAGGAGCCGTCGCGGGCCCTTCCACAGGGAGCATTGACGTGCCAAGTCCCAGCCGCCCTGAGGCTGCGCGCGTTGCCTGTCGCGATGGCCGGGGCGAGGCGTGGGCCGTGTGGCCCAGTGCTTCGAACCCTCCTGAACCCCGGGAACTCCTCGTGCACTTGGAGGCTCATCTTTCCTTTCACAACTTGTTAGAAACAAGTGGCACCGAGTGGTTAGCCTGAAACTGGAGCCCGGGAGGGTGAGCTGAGCGGGTGGCACCTCGCAAGGCCGTACCCACCACCGTCTTTGGCTCCACCCTCTGGGTTGACGTTCGGCAGGAACCGCATCTCCCACCAAGAAGCCCGCCGAGGTCCTTAGCATCCTTCCCCATGTGGGGTCGGCCCACATCAGTGACTCCCGTCCTACGGTCGCACGTTTACCGGCCCTGGGGCCAAGGAGTCTGTCCTGGGACGCAGCAGGTCTTCCGTTTCAACCTGCCGAGGTCTTGCCAGTCCACCGTGCCACGCAGGAAGCAGCATTTGAGGCTCTGAGGGCTGCCCCACGAGATGACGCTGCCTGTGTCCACCGAGGGGCCAGGCCGGCAGCGGCCACACTCCTCCTGGGACGATGGCCAGTGCGAAGGTGTTCCCCAGATGCCTACACGCCCTAACGCACGGCAGGCTTCCTGCCACCCTCGCCGTGCGGTCGGTAGGCTCGAGGGCCCGGTTGGAAGGCCTGTCACCGGCCGATGGACGTAGCGGCACCCACGTCCTTAGGTCCACCTAGAACAGGAGGGCACCGGGTGGTGGGGCGGGGAAGGGGGACCCAGTCTCACTCCTGGTGCTGCGCTTGTCGCCGCAGGCTCCGGGCTGCTGGCTCCTGCCTCCCTCGGGACGTCGTACGGCTCAGGGTGCGTTGTCAGAGAAGTGGGAAGAGTCCTTGGTCCTGTTCATTTCCTAGCATCCCTGCCTGATGCTAATGCGAGGATGCAGACGGCCGTTTCCCAAAAGCCGCCCACCAAGGACATGGTCGCAGAGGCCTCTTTCTTCTTGAGCTACTCCCGCTCGTCTTCAGGTTCACGTTTTCACGGTATGAGATGCAGATCCCCCATGAGCGATGGGCGAGCCTTGTGCACAGCCCTTTGGGCCACAGCGTTTCCTGCTCTTGAGTTCATGGCCCCCGGTGGGCGTGGGTAGCGGAAGAGGGGCACCGACTGACCTGAGAGCATCGGCCGGCCGGTCGGGAGACCCGAGTTCTGGGACCAGCTTTGCCACTTAGCTCAACGCTGCAAGCCCTGGCAAGTCCCGTGGCTTCTTTGGACCTCAGTTTCCCCGTCTGTGTAATGGGTAGGTCGGCTCTTCCTTCAGATCTGTTATCCTAGATTATTCTATCCTCTTTGTCTTTTTTTTTTTTTTTTAATCTTACCATTTTCTCTTGGGATCCTGACACAGCAGACATTCACGCAGCCTGGATGCCGGCCGCTGCTTTGAGTTTTGTAGACGTCTACTCCTTTTTCTGAGACGTTCTTCCCCATGCTTTAGAGATTTCATCTCCTCTTTGCTTTGGGGTCATCTGTTCTTTCAATCTCCGTGGTCCTAAGGGCTGTCGTTACAGCTGCCTCCGACTGGCTCCCTCCTGGGCCCTCCCTGTGCTCTCCCTGCCATGCACCAACCTTGTCTCCTCCTCAGGGGAGCCGCCCCCGCCCCTGCCCCGTAGTCCATGGAGAGCCAGGGGCCGGAGGAACAGGGCCCTTTATGGGAATCTCTCCCTACGCCGTTCCAGCCTTCCGCGTAAGCATATCCCTCTCTCCCGCGGCGACCGTCACAGCCTGGCATCTTCACAGTCACAGAGCAGAGTAAGCGTCTGGACAGAGGCCTGTGCAGTGCCACAGGTCGGGCTCTCAGAGCGGAAGACGTGTTCCCGGGCCCGGCCCTCCCTCCGCCGTGAAGACCTCCGTTCGAGGGCAGCCGCTGTCTTTCTCCTTCCAGTTCACCTCATTCTGTGGAGTTCGTCCTGAAGCAGCAGCGACTCATAGCAGAAGCAGCTACTTCATAAGTGGGGAGTCGTGAAACGGTAAAAGGCTCTGGATTCCCGGGTGTGTCCAGCTTCGCTCCCGGCCAGTCCCCAAGGGGCGGGGCGGTGCTCAGACTGACCGATGGGTTTCTTACAGCGGCGAGGCCAGGGCTCTGCGCAGAGGAAGGGACTGGCCTCTGCAGGAGCCGTGCCTGAGCTCTGCCCTCCTGCGCGTCCCCGTCCTCGAGGAGCACTCCCTGTGGCGGGGGGCACACAGGCCACAGGGCAGGGCCCGTCCAGGACTTTGGGCTGCTCCTTGTACAGCAGGTTGGACTCCTGTGACCTCAGAGCCCAGGGAGTGCACGTGGCACACGGCAGGCTCTCAAGGGAGGCTGACGACGGGCCTCCCCATCACCTGGAGTCTCTATGCGTCCCCAGAACTGCGCGTGGGGGACAGCCTTAAGTCTCACATTGTGGCCAGCTCGTCGCTCTGCCGTGTGTCAAGGTCCTGGGCACTGCTGTGCGGGCCTGCGCGGGCGGCAGGGGAGCCGGACCCACGTCCCTGGGGAGCCGGACCCGCGTCCCTGGAGCTTCTCTCTGCTCGGAGCAGATGCCGGGCCTCCAGACCCGACGTGCTGGGCTTTCAGGCGAAGCTGACCCAGGTTCAGGTCCCAGCCCCAGCTCTGATTTATCGCAGGGCCTCGGGCTATTGTTTTTGACTCTTCTAAGCCTGTTTCTTCATCTGGACGTCGGAATAACTCCGCATCTCGGGTGGTTAATGAGAACTGAGCTGGTGCCCGTGCGTGCCAGGCACTCCCACTCACAGAGGGTGCTTCCCCGCGGCTGTCCTTGCTGCCATCGACGGTGTCCCCCCGGGGCCAGGACGACGACCTTCCCCTCCTCCCTTAGCCCCGTCGGTCCCTCCTTGAGGCCTCCCCTCTCTTGGCCTTTGTCCCCTCCGCCCCCTTCACGGACAGAACCTGCGATGATGGGGTTCCTCACCCCGGGACGACGGGATGGCTGTGCCCCCGGCCCTGTCTCATTGGAGCTCTTCTCCACCCTGCACCAGAGCAGCCGGGAGGAAAACGGCGGCTGCAGGCGGCGCGTGTGCCATGGGGCCTCCCAACCGTGACCTCTCGAGCACTAGGACTCTCGTTCCGACGTCGTCTCCTGGGACACGGTGTGGGTGGTCCTCGCAGGGTCACCTTTGAGAGCAGCGGGGGCCCGAGGCCCTGCCCTGTGAGCTGCCCCCATCCTGCACTGCTGGCGTAGGGCAGCTTTCCGGGGGACAGCCGAGCCACCGCAGGGGCCCCCGGCCTCCGGGCCCCGAGGCCTCACCTCCCTGGCTCCTCGGTGCGGTGCTGGGTGCTGTGCTTGGTGGGGGAGAGTGGCGGCTTTACTGGCGGGGTGGGGGGGGTGCAGGCAGGCGGCAGGGTCCACGCGGTGGGCGGCCCACCTCCTGCAGCCCCTTCCCGCGGGGCCCGGGAAGCCTGCGTCTGGCACCCCCACCCTTTCCCCTGGCCTGGGTGCTGCGTTCTCGCCAAGCGTCACTGATTATTTTCAAAACACTCAGGTCAGACATCAGCTGTGCCACAAAGGAAAAGAGAACAAGAACAGATGAATCAGTGTTTCTGGAATCGTAAGCTGTGATTTCTTCCTAAGCTCATTGAGAGGGTGCCTATTGAATTCCACACACATTCCTGCATGTTGACCAACTGCCAAGCCTGCATATGGGTGGGTGGAGGCCGAGGTGCCACAGACACGGTCCCCGTCCTCACAGGGCCTCCGTGGGCAGCCGTCCTCTCAGGACATGGGCAGAGCCTCACGTCAGGGGCTGGTGGCAGTCTCTGGCCTCATTTGTCTGTCCCTGCCCATATGTCTTCCTCCTCCAGGAAGCCTCCCTTGACTACCTCCAGCGTCAGTGACGCCCCTGCTCTCCAAACCCTGGATTTCCGCGGGGCCCTGCAGCCCGAATACGGGACGCTGCCCGCCTGTCCTGTCATCTGCCTGACGTGGGGCCCCAGAGGCCCATCGTATCACCCCCCACTTTGACAAATGAGGCAGCTACGGTTTAGAGGAGCCGTTCTCCCAGAGTCACAGAGCTCAGCAGCAGCAGAGCTGGACCTTGCACCTGCATGTCCCGATCCCCACCTTGGGCCCCCTCCTTGGTCTCCGGCATCATTTGACCCTGAGCGCCCCCTCTCTGGAGCCCTCGGAGCCCCTCCCTTTTCACGTCTGCACTAGGCCTGTCTCCTTGCGTCCAGGCAGCCTCGTGTCACTGCTGGTGGGGGACACCCCGGGCAGCTGGGCCCTGACACTGCCACTCCAGAGCGGAGTCAGGCTTGCGGGGGATGGACGGAGCCAGTGCCTCCCCCTCCCTCCTCGCCCTGAGTCTGCAGGCGACAGGGGCAAATGGGTGATGCTGAGGCTCCGTCTGTCTGATTAGAGCCACGCCGTCTCTCCGTTGTGGGATGGGGACCTAGCTGTGTCCAGGGCCTTTCAGCTGCCCTGGTGGCATCCAGGCTACACGCACACGTAGGCTGGAGAATGTCTGAGTGGGGGGTTGCCAGCCCTCTGTCCTGTGGGGTCGCCTGTGCCCCAAGGAGGATCCCCGTGTGCCTCGGGTTTTCCATGGGGCGGCCCCGGAGCGCATCGTGCGGACAGCGGGCCTGATATGGAGCATGGGGCCACCGGGTCAGGAACCCAAGGCCTGTCTGCCGGTGGAAGGAAAGGTGGGCAGTTGTTTACGGACACTTGGAGCGGGGTGGGTCGCTGGCGGATGATGGGCCTTGGTGTCCAGCGACGACTGTGCATCGCACGGTGACGGCGGGAGCGATCCCGTACCTGTTTCTGCAGCCTTCCCTCATTTTCTGCCCGTGGTGGAGCCTCCCAGGATGTGTGTCTGGGTCTCATTTTCTTTATCTTTCCTCTAGAGATCCTGCGGATAATTCAGCTGGACCTAGACCTGAAGTACAAGACCAACATCCGGGAATTGTTTGAAGAGTTTGACAGTTTCCTGCCGGGCGCCGTCATCGGCATAGCGAGAGAGATGCAGCCGGTGTACAGGTATGTGGCCGCTGTGAGGGCTGAGGCCGGCCCCCCACCCCCCACCCCCCTCACCTCCCACGTCCTGCTGCCCACAGCAAGCGGGATTTATTGGTAGGCGGAGTTCGCTTAAACCTGTGAGCGAGCGGATGCACCTGTACTTGCTGCAGACAGTGGTGTGGGCAGGTGGTCCCCACAGCCGTGAGGCCGCCTCGTCCTCTTGGGGGAATTTGTAAGACTTTTCCTGCAGAAAGCCGGGCTCTTTCGGTTGTTGACGCTGGTTAAGCTCAGTTTTGAGATCTCGGGCTTTCCCTGGTAAAGGCCGTGTCAGGCTGGAGCTCTGACTTGCCAGGCTGACGAGGAGCCAGGTGTCCTGCCTCAGTCACCGGTCACCCCCCCCCGCCCCCCACCCCGTGCGAGCAGAGCGGGTTCTGTCTCAGAAGGAGGGAAAGCCGCGCAGCTCTTCGATGCCTGGTCGCAGAGAAGAACGCATAGTGCACGCCGCAGCGCTTCGCGGCCTGGCGTGCATGCCCGAGAAACCCCGGCGCCTGAGAGCCGGGAGACGCATTCGGGGGTATCCGCTGCAGCGTCGTGCACCGTAGGCAACAACTGAGAATGACTTGAATGTCCGTAGCTAAGAGGACGGGCCCATAAAATATGTTCGTCCAGCCGGGTGCTGTACAAACGCAAAAACGAGCCAGGGGCAGCCTCACGCCCTGCCAGACACAGCTAAACGTGGCCCTTAGGTGCATACGATGGGCCCCCGTGCCGGCACGGCGCTCCTCTGCGGGGTGAGGGCAGGGAGGGGGCAGGACTCGGGTACACATCGCCTCCGGGGCGCCTCAGTGTCGTTAGCTCTCCACCTGGGGGCCGTGCACACGGTTGCACATGCTCTCCTGCGTGCACTGCAGGTCTTACAGCTGAAACAAGGGAAAGGAAAAGCAGAAGTCCCTACAAGCCTTTGTTAAAAACTAGACCCGTGGTTCTGGGTCCAGAGAGCTCCACGTCCCGAGGATCCTCCTCCGGCGGAGCCAGAGCCCACGCAGCAGCGTGCTGCCCTCTTTGTTCTCAGAGCAGAGCCTCCTGCCAGCTCCCTGCAGACGTTCCTGGAGCCGGGCCGTCTTTGGAGACCAGCGACCCAGGAGCCTGCACTTCCCCTAAGAGAGCGGGGAGGAGTGACAGCTCGCTTGCTTGTGACTATTTGCAAGACGCAGATCACATAACAGGAAATTCCTGCAAGGCTTCTGAGTGGCCTGATAACTCTGGGCCTCGTGGGCTGTTCAGCCTTACATCATGCTCCCCAGGCTGCCGCCCCTACACAGCAGAGCCTCGCACTCTGCCGGGAACAGGAGGGGAGGCTTCAGGCACACATTTGCCACTTGAGCTCATAGTGGCCTCCGGGCCTCATTCCCTCATCTTGATACAAGGTGGATCTTACGTTCGGGGTTCTTGGCTTCACACCTGGAGGGCGATGGAGGGAGCACCGAGCTGAGAGCCCAGAGCCCTACGGGCCGGCCCTGCGCTCTGCGCTCGGGGCCTGGGCTCCTCCCACGTGAGGATGGGAGCAGGTGTGCCGCAAGCCCTCCATCCACCTGCTCTGGCACCGTGATGCCGCCCTCCTGACCCGCCGTCTCCTCGTTTTCTGTCCTGTCCTGAGGCTGCGTGTCTGCTGGTGGACCCCTCGCTGCTCCCTAAGGGCCAGGGTCCCCGGGATACTCACACCAGGCCCATGGTTAAATGCAGGCAGAGCAGTGGCACCTTCAAGCCCTGGCTTGGAACCTTCCCATCTAATATAAGTGGAGAAGACATGATCCCATTTAAATAGAGTTGGCCAGAATTCATATGTTTGTAGATCTAGGATTTTACTAACAGTGAAACTTAAATCAGCTTAATTGTCTGGACTTCTCAAAAGAAATCTCTGAAAGATTTTTAGATCCAAAATGAAATTGAATTTTTCTCGCCTTCAGTCTTTAATTATCATGACGTCCAGTGAGAAAACTGAGGCCCCTGCAGCTGCTGGAAGAGTCTGGCCTGTTTGTAGGGCTCATGCGCTCAGGATCAGCAGAAACAAACTCCCCTTTACGCACTTCCCCCTTCCTCCCCCGCTGAAGTGCTTATAAAGCTTTTAATAGTTAAGTCTGCAAATGACCGCGCCGCACAGACGTGCGCCCTACTGGCTCGGCGCAACTGCCTCTGAGCCTTTGCCATCTTGGGCTTGGGCTGGGGCTGTGAAGGGTTTGGTGCCGGTGGGTCAGACGGGGAGTGGACTGTGGGTTTTTGTGGAATTTCTGCTGTTTTCCGCTAGAAAACTGGAGACTCCAGTGGCCCCAAAGAAAAAGTGTTGGTTGTGTGCATCTTTGGAGCCTGTGGCCGGGTACGGGTGCTTGTGGGGAAGGGGTGGGAGGAGACCGGGGCGTGGACGAGTAGTGAGGAGCGGAGCCGGGCCCTTCTCTGGAGCGGCCGCCGCGGCCCCACGCCTCTGACCTGGCCATCACCGCTGGAGGGGCGTCCCGGCCCGCGTCTGCCCACTGCCCACCCCCTGCGGTCCTTGAGGAACCGGGAACCAGTGGGAGTTCCCACAACCACGTGGTCTCCCTAAGTGGCCGAGTGGGAGGTGGGCAGGGTCTTTATCATAAGCAACATCTGCTAGCCTCTATGAAAAGAAAGGAAAATCCGGAAACAAAGCAACAGCACAGGAGCAAAAACTTGACTGACGCACCGAGTGCATCTTGCACTGGAAGTTCACTGAGCAGAAATAAATCTTGGATCTCCTCGACTGTGTTATGTTTATAGGCCCTCGCCTGACAGCTACTGTACTTCAAAAGGGTGCACGTTAAGTCATTTTTATGGTTGTTTCCCCTCCATTGTGTGCCACCAAGAACGTTAGCAGCTTGGAGGGGGGTGGAAGAAAAAGTAGTTCTCATTATTCATTTGACAAATAGCTTTCTTTGCTTTTTTTTTTAATCCCCCCCCCCACTTCCACGCCCACATGTATACTAAACTCACACTGCGGGGTGGCCCGGGTGGCTCAGCGGTTAGCGCCGCCTTCAGCTCAGCGCATGACCCTGGGTCCTGGGATTGAGTCCCACGTCGGGCTCCTTGCATGGAGCCTGCTTCTCCCTCTGCCTGTGTCCCTGCCCCCCCCCCGCTTCTAATAAATGAATAAAATCTTTAAAAATAAATAAATAAATAAACTCACTGTACTTCCTGGGAAGTGACGGACTATGGGATGCTGAGCTAGTGGTAGAGGCACCTTTTTTCTCTAGGGTCCCTGTTAGTATTCTTTTTTTTTTCCTCTTTTCTTAATTTTATGTATTTGACAAAGCGAGAGATTGAGCACACAAGCAGGGGGAGCAGGAGAGGGAGAAGCAGGTTTGGAACCTGGTTTGCCGAAGACGGACACTTAACCAACTGAGCCAGCCAGGTGCCCCCCCCCATTAGGATTCTGTTGAGTCAAACATACCGTGACCTTTCTTGTCTGCAGATTGGGAGCCACGGTCATTTCGGGTGGAACGGCCCTGTCTTGGCTCTTTCTCTGCCTCTTTGTCGGAGAACTAGACCACTGGACAGGTAACTCCTCATAGGTGACGTGTTCGCTCTGGGATACACGGCCGAAGGGGAGAAGGGCCTGATGCTTTCTCTGCAAATGGGCAGCTGTATGTTACACACACATCAGTCCAGGATACCATTTTGAATCTGCTTCCTTATGAACGTAGGACTGTAGGACCCTCCTTATGTAGAGCCTGCGACACTATAAATATGTATCTGCAGGCAGAGCAGATGCCGAAGATGCAGATTTCTTTTTTTTTTTAGCTTTTTTTTAAAATTTTTATTTATTTATGATAGTCACACAGAGAGAGAGAGAGAGAGGCAGAGACACAGGCAGAGGGAGAAGCAGGCTCCATGCACCGGGAGCCCAAAGTGGGATTTGATCCCGGGTCTCCAGGATCGCGCCCTGGGCCAAAGGCAGGCGCCAAACTGCTGTGCCACTCAGGGATCCCCGAAGATGCAGATTCCTTCTTGATGCCGAAGAAATCCCATTTGGGCCGTTCTCAGAAGCTGTGGATTTGTGAGGCTTTACAAGTCACTTGATTCCCTGGCCTCGGTTTTGTTTTATTTTTTAACGTATAAGTGGGGATAACTACGCCTGAAGCATAGAATTACCGGGGAACGTACGTGAAGCAACGTGCAGGAAAGCTGCGGTCGTGGGAGACGCTCAGTGTAGGGCACTTGCTCACTTTCCTCCCGTAATCCTCTCAGCTCTTGTTTGTTTTCTTTTCGAGATGGTTCGTTCTACTGGATACTTCTGCTCTACCCCAGGAAACCATACGGGGTTGTCAGTTAAGGCACACGACATACACTTAGGTTGGATTTCAGAAAATCAGCAAATAATTGCCTTGTGTACGTATACTCCAAATCCTGCAGGGGACATACATCTACAGAACAGTTATTTGCTGTTTGTATGGAATCTAAATCCGCGGACACCCTGTTTTTTGTTGGTTTGCATGTTTTGCTAAACCTGGTAGCTCTACCCCTACCCAGGAGTTAAAACCTCTGTTTAGTAGAAGGGAGTGATCCGGCTTTTCTACAAAATCCCCGAGTGGGCAGGAGCACAGCCTTATGGAAGCGGGAGCTTGTAAGGAAAGTGGGGTGCAGGGTGCGGGGGGGGTAGGCGGCCGCTCTCAACATTTCCGTGAGGCACCAGGTCTGAGGGTCACTGCTCTGCAGCAGCTAGAGGCCGGCTTGTGATCTGGGTCCGCGGGGAGGGCTCTGGAGCTGGGAGGCCTGGCTTTGGGCCGCGGGGTTCCTGCTGAGCCTGGCCCGAGAGTGAGCATGAGCGTGAGCGAGCCCAGGAGCTGGGACCACGGCCTCTCCTCCCCATCGTGGAGCTGGCCACCCGAGGAGCTGCTGAATGGGAGCCTTGTTGGCGGGGCCACCGGCTTCCGGCTCCTTCTCCGTTGGCTCCGCGGGCCCGCTGTGTGCTGTTTGAGCCCGAACCCACCATGAGGTGGAAGCAGCAG